TGATTGCATGTTCCTGAAATTCAATTAGTGGGGGTGGGGGCTATAGGGCCTAGTACTGTGAAAGGAAGACATTTTAAATATGTAAAAACAAATGAAACACGAAATAAACACTTTATTCAAATTAAATATAAACTAAATTTTTATTTCATTCTTTGATTGGATGCCCTCCTGATATGGACGCCTGGGGATATCTCCCCCCTCTGCCTCTCTTCTGCACGATACTGATTCCTGGTACTCTTGATTTATTTATAAATTTAAATACTCAAATGTGAAATTCTTGTAATTCTGTAAGGATTTCACAAAATATATGCCATATTTACTTTATTTTGGTGGTGTGTGTGAAATGGGGTTGTACAACATGTCTATAGATGGCGCAATTTGACAATGACCAACGACCAATGATATATGTTGAAATCGTCCAGTTCCATTCGGAAATGACTCGGCAATCTCTTATTGTGTAAGTATTGAATTGTACCCGACGATGTAGTGAAGACCTTTAAACCGAAATGTATTTGTTTATTATTACATAGCGTTCAATTAAAATGGACGTTTTTAATTAAGAAACAAAAATAAGAAGACGACGCAAAGAAGATATGCTTAATATCATTCCGATTGGAATTGGACGATTTCAATATATATCATTGGTCATCGGCAAGTCATTGTCAAATTACGCCATCTATGAACATGTGATACAGCCTCATTTCACACACTCCACCATCTTTATATAATATGTATACGTTTCTTATAAAAAAATATATCTATTTATTTTACTGATTATTATAATTTAACATTTAATGAGATATCTGAGACTGACGTTTTGAGAGAATATCTTCTTTGCAAGGTCGGATTTTGGACAGACATTAAATCTTCTTCCAAGGATTCTAGTACGCGGTTGATTTTTTGTTTGTAATATTGTTCATTTCAGAAACGTTTCGTTCGCACACTTATTGTGCTTTGGATTTATTTAAAAAATAATTTAATTAAAGACTTTTATAAATTTTCGCGGTACACCTACGATATAGGAGGAAATATTCGGCATTCGTTGACCGATCAGTTTACTCTTTATTGTAAGAGATCAACTTTTGATGAGAAACCCTATCCTCAGTCAGACTTGGTAACCAACATGGAGTTTTGAACCGAACGCTTTCAACCTATGGAACCAGATTCTCTTCATTGTGATTTCTTTGCCATTAGGGCAAATTTTTTAAACCCTTTATTTTATCTCACGGCATGTACATGAAATGTAAATTTCATATATAGTGTCATTTTTAAAAGACATCATTATAAGATTTTATAAGACATAAAGCGGGGGACAAGCTTCTTGTTGTTAATTAATGCAATAATATGTTCCCTCCACACACTATAATAACTGATAAAAGAACAGACCTCTTAAAGGTCCACATGATTCCTTCATTTGAATTTGCTTTTGATCGTTGGTCTGAGAAAGCGGTTGTATATAGCTGATTGTTTATATGAACAAGTTGGACACCATGCATGACACATGAGCAAAGGTCAAAAATTATCCGCACTGATAACATAGATATGTGATGGCGAAAGTGCGGATAATTTTTTTACTTACCCTAGTATGTTTGACAATGTAAATCAGACAATGTTATTTAAGAAAATGACTCAAGTTCTTAGGTTAATGTTTTCGTCTTTTGCATTGTTTTCCAAAATTATCTTTAGCGCAGCCTATTCTATGTTCAGTTTCCTTTTCTCCTATAATAAGTATCTTATAACTTTTCTATATAGCGACCCTATTTGAAGTATTTAGATTTTATTAATTCCACATTCTGCATGGATTAAGTCATCACCGCTTTCATTCTAATTTCACAGCTTCTAGAAAATATAATCTTGCGGCCAGATGAAATTGAAACACTGGTTCCTGCCCAAGTTAAGCAAAGTCAAGCTTTATCCGTACCTAGATGATATTTGTCCAAACCCTCAGGTTTCAATTGCTCAAATGTTGTCTTAACCATTGATCTTAGAAAGTGGTTGCGCACAACTGACAGTCTAGATATTTCTGAGCATGTTTGGTCAATGCATGGCATCCATATAAAACTCTCAATCTGACAAGGCTATTTATAACATGACTCAAGTTTTGGTTTTGTAGCTTTTTGCAGTGTTGTCCAAAATGATCCCTAGCACAGCTTATTCTATGTTCAAATTCCTATTCTCCTATACTAAATTTGTTGTAACTGATCCATAGGCCGAGGTATCTGAAGTGTTTTTAGTATTTACTAATTCCACATTCTGAATTTTTATGCTAGATTCAGAGTATGTGTCATAACTGCTTTCATTCAAATTTCAAATCATATATTCTGTTTTGGTAAGGTTTATCTTGAGTCCTATTTCTTGGAACGCTTGGTGAGGATATTCTGTTATAAATCATAATGTCCCAATAATATCTGGGACAGTAGTGACCTGAATGTTCCACATTCTGACAACTTAAACCTGGAGGTAGGTGTATTATTATTATTATTTGTGACATTATTTAGCGTTTGGCTAACTAATTAAGCGTGAAAATTAAAGGCGAGAAATACTTAAGGCGAGAAGTTATCCCGAAAGACATACTGAGCGATGTTATTTTTTTTAACAAAAGAAAAGTTGTAAAGATTTTATTTTCATTTGCGAAAAAAGTATTTTTTTTCGCAGAAGATAGGAAATTCGTAAGATCTCGGATCTGTCGGAATTAATTTATGCTATGACGCGGCGAATAAAAAATAGCAATCTGCCCATGGCAATAATGAAAATTTCAAATTGGTCAAGTGGCTTAAAACAGAATTCTAAAAGATAATCATATTTAGGTCGAGCAGCGACCGAGAAAGGGATCAGCTGAGACCACCCCAAAGAAAAAGGGAGGAGGAAGAGAAAAAGGAAAAAGATAAATCATTAACTATCTTTTGGAGATATCATTTGGTTTTGGAAAGGGACCACCTGTTTTATGTCCAGACCTTGCCATGATAAAAGTTTGTTACCTGAACGGATTGTTGGCGACAGAAGTACGAAGGCGTTAAAGATACAAGGAGATTCTGATAATCACTTGACGAAAATCTCGTGGATGAATTCCAGATGACATTCAGTTAAGATAGAGACTTAATGACCACGCTCCGAGTCGTGGGGATCCCAGTCAGGGAAAAGAAAGAAAAGAAAAAGGAAGATATTTTTTTTCTTTGAGCGATAATTGTAAACTGAGGCCAGACTAGCCACACCCACGCTGCCGAGCGTTCATTGGCTGAATGGTGGCGTGAGCGATGGGCGAAGGTAAACATATGAGAAAGAAGGGAAACCTGTTGACGCCTCTGAGGGATTGGTGTGAGATGCCACTATGAGAAAGAAGGGAAACCCGTTGACGCCCTCTGAGGGCATTGGTGTGAGATACCAATATGAGAAAGGAAGAATTTGGGAGGACAATTCCCTTAAGAACCCCTCTAAAACAGAAAATAATGGACTTCCAAAAATGGAAAGTGATAAATTTTCCTTTCCGAAAATAAAGAAAATCCTTATTGCGGATTTGGAATTATCGAGGAACCCAAACCACGACAGGCCCCCACCTGGTTTTGGTCGGCGTCCATATAAACGGAGTTACAGGGTAGAGTAGCGGACAGTAGCGGGCAGTTGGGTAGATGCAGACAAAGTGACAGAGCAGACAGAGTTGAGCTGTGAGCTCGGAGACCAGCCTCGCAGCTGACTGAAAGATCCCACGCATTCCGACTTAGACTTCTAACCAAAAACAATTTATTTTTGAAGAACGACTTAGACTCACACCACCAAAACAAGTTTTACGAATATCGCCTGAAGATACCAAAAACCAGCTTCTTGAAAAACAACTTAAGATATGAAGACTCGCCTAACAAACGCAAAGTGTCACGAATCCATAGAAGCGGTTTGGGAGAAAGACGCAGTCTTGTATTCAGAAACCAGATATAAAAAATATTTGTTATTCTTTTTTTAACACATTTGAACCTTTCGAGTTGTTACTTTATTTTCTTTTACATATACTTGTGCAGTGTCACCTTTACTCGAATTCGGCTTGCACTACGGCCCGACGACTGATTGATTTCGTCTACCTAAGATCAAATCACAACGTGGGTAGGTTAGACTAGAAATCAAAGCAGTTACTTCGGTAAGCAGACGTTGGGGGCGAGTTGGGAACGACAAAGCTGATACCGAATCTAACCAGATTTCCATCCGAATCAGCCAAGGGTTAGAACGTCACATTTGGTGCCGCGACCAATACCAAGTCACATTGGTCGTCACAGGATAGCACGGGGCAGAGGCACAGGGTGACTTCACAATTATTATTATTATTATTATTATATTAAACATATTTGAAAAATTTAGTCACGTTTTAGCCTCAATAATGGATGCAATGTTTTAAAATGATTTTTCAGGAAAGTAGGTTTTTTTCATGTCAACTGTTGTTGCTCTTTCAACTTCCTAAAATTTATCTAAATTAGTGTGAAGTGTCAACATCCTGATTGTCATTATTTTCTCTTCGAGTTACATGTGCTATCCATTTTAGTTGTTGCTGCTCTTGGTAGTCTTCCAGTGATGTGGTTCCTATTATTTGGTACAGTTCTGTAACGCCAGCCCGCAATGTTCAATGAAGGGTGATATTTTTAAAAACCCCGAGGCTTCACTTGCTCAAAGGGTTTTTTAGCCATTGATCTTAGAAAGTGGTTGTATTCAACTGACAGTTTTGATATTTCTGAACAGGTTTGGTCCATGCATGGCATCCATATGAAAGTCTCAATTTGACAAGACTATTTATGACTTCAGTTTGCAGTGTTGTCCAAAATGATCCTTATCGCAACTTATTTTATATTCAGTTTTTTTTCCCCTATAATATATATGTTATATTTTATCTATATACCGATGTATTTGAAGTGCTTAGCATTTATTAATTCCACATTCTACATTTTATAATGGATTCATTTTATATGTGTAATCACTGGTTTCATTCCAATTTCAGATCAACTAGTTACGGACAAATGAAGTTGAAATACCGGTTCCCGTACAATCACCTCAGTTAAGCAAAGTCGAGCTTTATTAGTACCTAGATGGGTAACAGTTTAGGAATATCAGGTGCTGTGAGTTTGGATTTGCGAATGGTGTAATAGATACTGGTTGTTAATTGTAGAACCGAGTTCTACTTCCAGTTGGACTCGTTATATTCACTTATGTGCAAATATCTTTTGGAAAAATATGAATCCGCCCCTCAGCTATTAATTAGTAATACTTGTATCCTATTAGCTCTAAAAAATTCTTACAATGTAAAAATATTTTCTGGGTTAATTGAATCACTCCACTAATCAATTGTATCCTCATTTTCGCAGGCCAATAATTTTGGCAATTCTGTTGAAATAATCTCAAATTTTCATTATCTAAAAAACAGATCAAAATATAATTTAAAAATATTTTCTGGCTTTTAAATAACCTGCGAAGAGGTGATAAACCGTGCAGAAAAAAAATGAAAACTCACTCAAACAATCAATAATATTTAAGAGAAAGGCTGCAGGGTGTTCTAAAAAATTTTGGGATCATTTTTGCCGGTCCAATAATTTTGGGTCCCATTAAACTTATAATTCAAATAAACTGTTCACTTTCAAACTTTTTTTCAAGATAATTGCTTTTAAAATAAAAATTTTTTGGGGTACAGATATAAATATATATATATTTAATATTCTATATTTATATATATATATACGATTATATTTTGGACAAAGTTGAGTCGTTAAAGCCGTTTACTTCTTTTTTAATAGATACAAATATTTATTTCTGCGCCATTTATCGCATATGATCGTATCAAAGTCAAATGACCCAACACCGTGAGACAGTTTAGTGTTTTTTGGAACGCATCAAAATCTGGAAAAAATCATGGAGCTAAAACAGTAAAAAACAAACAAATTTCAATTGGCACCAAAATTTAAAGGTTCGATTCCTGAAATAAAATTTCTCGGACATTCGCAAATGGTAAAAAAACAGAGCATTTACTTAAATATTTGTATCTATTAAAAAGAATATATAAACAAAAAATGTCTTATATAATATATATTTATATATATATATATATATATATAAGAGCTATAAGTAATTTGAACCTTTTGGTATATTGTCTTGATTTTCTGTCTGCCGAGTTCAAATGCATATCTGGTGTTTTACCTAAATTGAATCATTTCATCATCATCGAAATTTCTCCCATAATAAAGGTTTTTCTCTTTCAAGGAATGTTCAACTATTGGGACACGTTCAAACTGTTCATATATAAAATTTCATTGAATGAAAGCTAGACTTAGTAAAAAGTTTTCAAGATAATTTAGCCAAAATTTAAAACTAAATGCCGAATTTTTTCTAGCCTTCAGTGAGTTCAAAATCGTTTATGCCTATATATATATACTTTATATATATATATATATATATATTTCACATATATATATTTATATAAATATTCAGATTATATATTTCAGAACTAGTTCAAACATTTACATCTCAACGTTCAATGTCCACAGTCTATCCTCCACTTATTATTCCATTCATAATAAAAGGTTTCACCAGCTTTCCCGTGAACTGCTACTCTGTGGAACAAAGTATCTCATTTAGTAAAACACTCTACAAGTCAAATTTTTATTGAGTTCTGTATTCACTTGAACCTTTCATTTATATATATATATATATATATATATATATATATATATATATATATATATCATTCCACAGAATTTAAGATACTGAATTTACGTACTGTTGATTTTATTTTTGTAAATATATTAGAGTTTGCAGCTTTCATATTATATCATAAAGAAGTAATTCATACAAAAAATTAATTAGCAATGTTAATGAGATTCATGGCAAGAGTATATATATATATATATATATATATATATATATATATATATATATATATATATAAATTATCAATTCCCCCAAGCAAGGTACTTAGAGTGAAAGAGAAGATAAAAAAAAACATCTACACCTGTCCAAATGACTTGGGAGGAGTGTGAACAGGACGGTAGGCGAACATATCTACTTATATATATAAGGAGATAACCTATATAAATTGTCATATATCAGAACAAGGTTATCAATGACGAAGTTGAAAAAAATTGTGTGACGCGTTTCGTCCTTTAGGACTTCATCGCAGTAAATTAATGCTTTTGTTGATGAAATTATAAACGTGTACAGAGAGGATGAGGAATATAAAACTCGGAGAATTTAAATAAATGATGATATGAACATAAAAGGGATCTTTTACAAAACAACATACTCAATAAATTAGTTGGTTTCTTGTTTTTGTTCTATTATCACAGTCTGTGACAATAACGAAAGAGGTAAAAACAAATGCATAAGGAAGCTGGAGGAAATTGGCCGAGACTACACATCCAGACACATCTAAAAATAAGATAAAAAGTTAAATTGAATACAAGGTTTTCAGTGATTAGAAAATAATTTCACACTGGCTCGCGAAAATCTTTTTCTCGCATTTGCGGGAGTAATGATGAGAGTTGTTATTTTCTAAATGATCCCAAAATAACACGTGGTAGTTTCTCTAGGTCTGTAAATATTTTGGCGATATTTGCCCTTGTAATAATTGCTTATCCAACAAACCTTCTGACGGGATTTTATTGATTGATATATATATATATATATCTTGGTAGCAAAGTCAACTACAGTGGAACTTTAGATGATGAAATCATGCACTGGATTGCTAAGGCTACCAGTGCTTTCGGCAAACTTCACCATCGCTTGTGGAATGAGCGGGGTATTCGACTGGATACGAAAATTCGGGTTTACAGAGCTGTTGTACGTCCCATACTTTTGTACGACTCAGAATCGGGAACTCCATACAGGTACCATATACGCCAACTGGATGTTTCCATAAAAGCTGTCTGCATGCAATCTGTGGAGTTAACCTTCAAGATAGGACATCTAACATAGACCTGTTTAACAGGTGTAATATTGGAGGCATCGAGACTTTTCTCATACAGTCTCAGTTACGGTGGACTGGTCATGTCTTGAGAATGTCTGATGACAGGATACCCAAGAACCTAATGTACAGCCAGTTAGATCAGGGCTACAGGAATGTAGGACGCTTATGGCTAAGACACAAAGACAAGCTGAAAAGCAACTTGTCACCTGTCAAAATATCACATAACACCCTTGAGCGCTTAGCCTTGGAGCGGGTGGAATGGCGATCAACATGTTTTAGTGGACTCAGCAGTTTTCAATCTGCTTGTTTGATCATCTTCAAGACGCGAGAGCAAGATCTAAAAGGTCAGCCAATCTAACAGTGATCTCATCCCACAATCCTCAGTCTTGCTCCATATGTGGCCTCCTTTGTCAATCACTAGCGGGTCTTAAGTGCCACTTAAGATTATCGCACAAATTTTTATAACTGAATCAATTAAGCTGTCAGATCCTTATATATATATATATAGAGAGAGAGAGAGAGAGACAGACAGACAGACAGACAGACAGAGACAAAGAGAATTTAATTACCATAACTTAAACTCGATCCTGTGAGCCGGATAAGAACAATTATTTCTTACTAAAAAGCGTATTCATAGGGGAGGACAAAATAAATTCACAACGGACTTCATATAAACACATACATATTTATGGGAGACCATAATTTCGGTTTAAAAATGCTACTTTATTTTAAAACAGAAAGCAATTTACTAAGGTGAAAATGAATAGTAAGTGCTTTAATTGCCAGATCATCCACAATAAATTTGCGTCCAGGGTCTTGCAACATTTCACTTTTCTTCTTTTCGTTCTTCTATTATCACAATGTGTGATACTTATTAATAAATTAGATAAAAACAAAAGCATAAGGAAACTGAAGGAAATTGGCCGAGACAACGCATCCAGTCATATCTAAAAAAAAAAGAAAGAAGAAATTCAATTTAAATTTTTTAAATTGGTGTAATGGATATTGGATCGGAATTATTAATCGTCGAGCCGAGTTTCAACGCCGTTTAAAAAAAAATGTCGTTTTCTGTCCGTGCATCATTATAGCCAACACTTTAATTATTATATTCCCCATCTCTCCCTATAGTTATATAATTCCATCAACAAAAACATGACTTCTGTTCTAAAAGATAAAACTCGTTGCACAATTTTTTTCTCCACTTTGTCATTAATTTGCCTTATACCAACAAGTTTGATTAAATTCAACCGACAATGTCTGTTTAATTTTTTATTGTACTTTTGCAGTTTTCTAATAAAATGCTGTATATTAATTCTGGATAAACTGCCTAAAGTTCATATTTATTCTCTTGTTTAAGTATTTTCGTCCGGCTCGGTCATTATCAAGAACCATGTGCTGCCAGTGCGGTAAGTAAAATTACGTTGGCTACATCCTGGTATTTTACAGTGAACTGAAAGTTTGTTTCTGTTTGAAATGATGTCATGTATAACGCTTAAAGTGAGTGAAACCGTACCGAAAAAAATTAACCAAATAATATGCATAATTTTTAAGGCATATTAGATATTTTATACACACTTCAATATACCGTCTCCTGTGTGTAAAGAGGTTTTATTTAATGTGGATTTACTTTTTATAATAAAAATCTTTTTATATTAGTAGCTTTTAAAATTTTTAGTCTTTCTTTTCATTGGATGCGATATTAGTATTTTGATGTTATTCACTAATATTTGGCTTATGCTGATAGGTGTATTTTAGTCATTCGTGGTGTACTGGTCGATATGTGCATGAGTTGCACGAAGTTTCGACATGTCAACCTACGTGAGATTGTAGTGTATGTGTGGCCGATGTAAGAATTGTTGATATTGGAGATGCAATCTCCCAGAGGGTATGAGAATGCATAAACCATATTATTTTTTACATAGTGGTTGGCTGAATTCTTGAATTTTTATAGCAAAAGATAAATCTAAAGTGTAACCAAGCGGTAAAGCAAACCGGATGAAGCGGTAGTTTCATCGAAAAAGGAGGACACAAGTTCGATTCCTGCCGGAGAACACTTTTTCTTCGTTAAGATTTTTCAGATACGCAGTGTGTATTACACAGATGTAATGCACATTGTTTAAAGTAAAAATAAAAAAAAATAAGTGTCTATATTTCTGAGATGTGGTA